CTATGAGTCAGAAAATTCTTCAAACACCACTTCTTCTAGTCAAGAGAAAGAAATTTGTAGTTGTAAGACTATTAATGTTCTTACTTAGAAACATCATTATTTTGAATAGTTTTATTCTTCTTTTGAGTAGGTTTTTAGTTAAAAACTTTGAAATATGCCCACTTATAAAAACTTAAATTTTCTGGGCATTCATAAAATTCTTCACAGAAGGATTCAATTTCTTCTTTTTTGAAATAATTTTCGAAAGTTCTTGACTTCTATTGTCTGATCAGTTTTGAATTCATTTCTTCTATTAGTAAAAGAAATTACATTACACAGTTGATCAAGTTTTTCAGAAGGTAGTAACATATTAGATAAAGTCGGCGAACGAGGTTGCTCTAGATCATCTTCTTTTTTTGTGTTACCGAAATGAGCTCTTAGAACATTTGGATCAAAATCAACTCCTTTAAAAGAAGAAGTTGAATGTCTAGCACATTGAAAGAAATTAGATTGAGATCCATCATCTATTCTAGATAAAGAACTTCTTTGAAAAGTATATGAGGAAGATGGTTTGTCAAAGATAACTCTTAACACTTTCACCACGGAAATGAATAATTTGTTCAGAATTTCTTTTGATAGGAGTTGGAATTGGATTTTGAGCATTTTCAAAATCCCAACGTAAACCCCTTTCTTGAAGATTCTAAGGAATTCTCTTGGGTATCATAACATTTGAATGAAATGGGTTAACTTAAACTAAGAGACTTTCATCTCTTGGTGAAGATCTGAGTGCACGAATATTGAGTTGAGTGTTTAGAAGTTTGTAATAAACTCTATATATTATAGCAAAAGCTTTTGAACTTATCAATATCAAAGTTCTTAGTTTGAATACGAAGATTAAGAGCATTGAGAATAGCTCATTCTTGGAGACTAACAGAAAAATTGGGATAACAATTTGAAAATACCGGTCCACTTTCAAGATTGGACTCAAGCATGGAAAGTAAAGAATGTTCAAACCTTAAAAGTCTTTTGTCTCTTAAGGTTATAAGAACAGGAATGTCAAGACCCAATCTAAACAAGGGCTTAACAGCAATTTGAACTAAACCAATATGAATATATTGAAATTTCTTCCTATGAGCAAGAATAGATTCTTTTAAAAGCAGATTTAAAGAAACAATTTGATTTTTTTTTTATAGAAATAGCATTTTCCAAAGTTTTGATAACATAACTTTGAGTAAAATCAATTTTCTTATCTCATAGATAGAACTTTTTTCTACCTTTGGGATAGTCCAACTTTTAAGAGTTTGTTCAATTTTTGCAATTTGAAATTTTTATGAATTAAAATCATTTGATACAGAATTTTGTTCAATTTCATCTTTATCAAAATATTTTGACATACTTGAATTTTTGAACTAGAACTACCTTCTTTTGAT